GAGGCTGGTGGTCCCCACGCACTTTGGGCAGGTGGAAGCCGGCCAGGGTGGTGTCGCTGGTGGCCATACGGGGCACCCCCAGGGGCACCACGTTGCCCATGCGCAGGACCTCGCTCAGCACRGCGCTGGTGTAGGGCATGTTCTCCTTGTCGGCCATCGAGGGTTGCCGCCACTGCCCGACCACGGCGTCGATCTCCTGCTGCACTTTCTCTACAGGGAGCAAAAAAAGATTCAGAACATTCCTCCTCATGGAACCACAGAAACTTTAAGGTTGGAAAAGCCCTCTAGGATCATCGAGTCCAACATGCCAGGCCACAGCCAAACCAAGTCCCACATCCATGCTCCTTTTGAACACTTCCAGGGTGATTGCACCACTCCCTTGGGCAGCTTGTTCCAGGGCTGGACAACCCTTTCARCAAAGAAATTTTCCCTTATATGCAACATAAACCTCCCCTGGCACAACTTGAGGCCGTTCCCCCTTGTCCTATCACTTGTTCTTTGGGAGAAGAGACYGACCCCCACCTGGTTCCACCCTCCTTTTGCGGAGYTGTAGAGAGCARCAAGGTCCCCCCCGAGCCTTTTTTATCTGGGCCAAATACTTCCAGTTCCCTGAACACTCCTCCTGAGACTTGTCTTGGAAAGGTTCCCAATAAGATATTTGGGGCACAGACATATTCAAGATGTGGCAGAACTGGGATAACTCTGTTTCYTGACTTTTCTTTTCTTAGTTTTGGGCTAATCAAAGGACCCCTGGGTGGCCCTACCCTGAATGTGGGGGTACGCGGCCATGTAGAGCAGAGCCCAGCGGATGGCRGTCGCCGTGGTCTCAGTCCCAGTTAAGAACAGGTCCAAGGTGGAGCAGAGCAGGTTTTCCTCGTGGAAATGGGAGCTGGTGTCACCCTTATACTTGGAGGAAAAACATGGCGATGAAAACTCTTATTATGGAGGGGWTGCTGTCAAAAACCCGATCCAAAATCACCTCTACGTAACTGAAGTCCTGCTGCTCCTTTATTATTTACCAGCCCAAGACTTGGAAATTTCCAGCCTTTACTTTTACTGAATTTCAAGCCCTAAGGACTGTTTTGAAAGACACCCTGGTTGCTGTAGAGTAACTCTTGAAAGCAGGTAGCATTTTTAAATGTCAAGTTTCACAATGACAAACACAGGCCTGCGAGCACTCATAGAAACATGAACATGTTCCCTGAGATTCCTCCTACGCTGTGTGACAGAACCAAAAAGGGAAGAAGACAAAGTGTAAAACCTTTCAAACAAATAAAAAATCTGTGTGGTTTTGAAGTGATCAGGCTTCTGCTGCTGCTGGAGTTTGATGTGGCAGAGGTAGGGAGGAGAAAGCAACACATGAGGCAAGAGATCCCCTGACAAAACAGCCCTGAATTTTCTCTGCTCATTCTATGGGTTAATCTTTAGTTGTTTTTAGGTKTTTCTCTCCTACCTTTTCTATTTCCTTCAGGTAACAGTTAATATAATCTTCTGCCTCAGACTGGTCCAAATCCTCCTTGTGCTTTGCAATCACACCTTTCACAAAATATTGAAGTTTTTCCCAGTGCCTGAAGATTTTCTTGAAGGGTCCTGGCAACCATCTCATGATCAAAGGAAAAGAATTGTACAGCTGGTGAGAAATGAAACAGAGCAAAAGAGCATTTCTTGGGTTAGAAAAGAGCAAGTATCACAGTTGAGATGCTAAGACAATTTATTTACTCCTCTTGCTATCTTGCTTTCCTGATAGACTTCATGTATAAAACCAATCTAATGCAAAACAATTCTCACGGTCATTTTCCTTTAAACATGACTCTTTTTCTACAGGAAAAAGCAGATGACATCAGTGCCTTAGAAACCCCAGTTTCTGAGCTCTTACAGGCAGCTGAAGCTGAAAAAAACATCCAAGTGGCTTTACCTGGCCCCAGAAACTTCCCATGAGCAGCAATGTTTCAGCCAAGGAGTGCAGCAATTCCTGGAAACGGTTGTCATGGTACTCGAAGCGGTTCCCAAAAGTTATGGAACAGATGATGTTCGAAACAGCACCATTGATTTTGTAATGGGGGTCAAATGGTTGTCCTGGAGGGGAAAAAAAAAGAAAGGAAACTTCCTGAAAGGAGGTTGTGGAACAGGTGGGGGGTTGGTCTTTTCTCCCAAGAAACAAGGGACAGGACAAGAGGAAACAGCCTCAAGTTGTGCCAAGGGAGATTTTGATTGGATATGGGGGAAAATTTCTTAATTTGAAAGTAAGGCAGGCATTGGAAGGGGCTGTGGTATAGTCACCATTCCTGGAAGTGTTCAAAAGGCACATGGATGTGGCACCTGGGAACATGGTGAACATGGCACTGCTGGGTTAATGTTTGGGCTCAATGAGCTTAAGGATCTTTTCCAGCTCAAATCTCTCCATGATTCTGTGATTMTAAAGACAGCTTTAATTCTCTTTTCCTGTACAGCCTCAGTCACACCCACGTTCTGTACCTGATCCCCAGCTGTGAATCAGGGTGAGACCCCACCTGTTTCTCACCCAAGGTGGTGCTCAGGTTTCACMCCATGTCCTGGGGTGCCCCTCACCTCCATCACCTCCAGGATCCCCTGCAGGATGGGCACTGTGGGCCAGGACATCCCATCCTGTGTCCAGCCCAGGCTGCTGGCAGACAGTGACATTARCACCGAGCTGCCCAAGCAGGGTTTGAACTATTTTCCAGGAACAACAACCACCAGCACGCCATGCTGTCGACTTTGCACTTTGCTCCAACACGTGTTTGGTGCCAATTTTAAATGCCAGGAGAGGGTCCCTCAAAGCTTAGCCCAGGGCAGGGAGCCCAGGACTAACCACACTGCAAAAATACGATTGCCCTGGGGTTTAGCTGTCCACCACAAAGAAATCAAGGGAGTTGGAGGAGAGAGGGGAGAAGGCTGCAAATCTCTGTGCCCACCCCAGCAATAGCTCACATGGCCCACAGAGCATCTTTATAAAGTGAARTGATGCTCGTCACATCTGCATTCCCTGGGAGAGCTACTGAGCAGAGCCCTTCATCTCCTTGGGCACATTTCAGCAGCCTGAAGAGCCACTTGCTGTGACAAGAGACTGATCTCAGTGACAAGCCCAGTCCAGCCCTGAGCTGCTGCTGAGCATTGCTTTGAAATGCWAGGCACTCCTCGCAGGACTGCTGATCTCCCCGCTCTTCAAGAAAGTAATTAAACCGGGCTGGTGCTCAGATATTAGAGTGATGGACATGATCACTATTTGTCATTACTAATGGGAAGAAAGGCCCAAACCAGCAGCTTAATTAGTTTATTGATTAGGACTATAGAAGACTATAATCAATTGGCAACACGGAGTATTAGGCCTGTTCAGCGCAACAGCAATTAAAATGGAGCAAGTTTAGTATATAATTTCACAATTCCTTTTTAGATCTTTCTGGTTTACTATATATAGCTCCATAGAATTAGCTCAACCCCATCTGCTTCTATTTAAAGCTGAAGTGCAAATCACCCATGTACCAACATACAAATTATTCTTACTAATATCCCTCTGGCAGTTTTTAAAAGCTGGACCATAAAAGAGCAAGGCACACGCTTCATCTGTGTGTGATACAAAAGGAAAGCCTGACTAAACAAGTTTTAAAATACTTTGCAAAACCAAGGACAAGCAGAGGTTAACTAAGCCTCTGAGTGGAAGTGCCTGATAGCAGGAGGGCTGCCTTTATTCCTTCACAGAGATACTTCCTTAGCCACATAAACACTCACATTCTAATAACCACCTAATATTTATTTACTTAATAAGGAAGAAATTAAATAGGAAGCCTGAGGTCTAAAATAAGTGCTAAAAGGCACAGTGTGGAAGTGTAAGATAGAGATTTGAGCTCTKGAAGAAATGTTTTGCATGTTTGGAGCTGCGTTGGGGTAAGAGTTTTACTTCTCATCATTTGTTTAGCTGGAAGCTCTGAGCACGGTGCTGTGCATTAASCCCCCACCTTTTTCCTCCCCAATCGTCTCCACGAGGTACCGACTCTCCTCTTGCACTTTGTCCTCAAAATTTACAGCAAGGCTTTTCAGTGTTGCTAAAGCAAACTTCCTCTGCTGCCTCCATATGTGCCCGTTKGATGATATGAGCCCTGCAGGTGGAAAAAACAGGTGAACAATCCTCTCTCTGGGTCATTTGTGAGTGTWGGATTTAGAAACAGCCATTCATTGTGGACAAAAACCCCAAAGCAAAGCAAAGCAAACCTCGTGGACGTTGAAAAGTCTATGGCTTTGCCTAGGAATTAAAATTCAAGAGTAATTGGCTTATACTAAAGATCTAGCTTTATGGATTTGCTTTAATCTGCTACTTGTCACTTTGCGTGGGAAAAAAAGGTGTAAGCCAAAATACTCTGAGTACTATCACGCTGTTGGCAGAGCTGCAGGCAGGAGCACCCCGTCTCTGGAGCTGTGTGCAACCCGGGGAGGAAAAGTAAAGAGAAACGAAAACCAGGGGGAAGCTCTGCAAGTGTATCGATCACTGGGCAGCTTGCATTTATTTCTCCTCTTTCATTTATTTCTCCTCTTTTGTTAAAATCTGGTTTTATCCCATCCTCATCTCCAAATCTCAGAGAGATCAAAACATACCCCTGTGAGATTATTAGTCTGTATTCAATTCCTCCTTTCCCCCTGTGCAAGGTTTTACAGTTGCAGTTCACAAAGGGTTGAATTCAACCCGTTTCTTTCACTCTTAACTGTTATCAATTCAAAGATATGAAAGTTTTGTCCCAAAATCCTGGTAGCTATGCTTACCAAAGCCTCTAAATATTTCTTGGAGGAGCGGAATATTTGGCCGGTCAGCGAATATTTCAGCCTGGTGGACGAGAGCTTCTCTCACCATCTGGTACCCGTTGACAACCACGAATGTCAGATTTCCAAACTGCACGCTGAAGATGTTCCCGTACCGACCCGTGAGCTGAAAGAGAGTCCATTGTCCTCTGAGAACAAGGAAATGGAGATTTCCAAAACTCCCCTCGACAAAACCTGGAATGGGGAAATCTATCTRTGAATTTAATGCTGCTTGAAGCAAAGGGACTTTGGAGAAACCCAAACCTAAGCACACAGCTCCCATCTCATCTAAATTACTCCTTGAAGGCTGGAGAGGTGTAAAAAGGGCTGGAGAGTTGTACTGTGGGAGAGAGGGTTTGCTTATATTTATTATCTGGTGTGACCTGGGTTTTACCAGGTGTTTACATCAGTTTGGCTGGTAACAAGGACGTCTGCTGAGTAAAAGCAAGAGACAAATGGTCACCAGAAAGGATTTTTGYAGCCAGCATGCCAGAACTTCCTTCACCTTTGCACAGAGGAATACTCAGCATGTATAAAATCTCTCTCTTGTTGGCTCTGGTGGGACTCAAAGCTCCAGAAACCTTTCCAGAGCAATCACTGCCTCTTCCTGCAACAAAGAAGCCACAGGAACTAACTCAGTATATCAGAAGTTTCTTTCAGATGTGATGGGCTAAATCGTTGGCCTCTCAGCAAAGACAATGACAAGACAATTTCCAGAGATAATGTCCACAATCCAGACAGTTCATTTCTCACACGGCRCTTTTCACCTGTCCCCCAGCCTGGCCCAACCCTTCTGGGCTCCAGAAGGAAATATTCAYGGTCAGATGAGAAGAAGGAGGAGGAGGAACATGTAGATCTTTGTCTAGGTTTGAAAGACAGGWGTKTGCCAAGGAAGGYAGGGACTTCCCTTGGAGCAGCAAATACGACGCCCCTTCCCTCTAATTATTATAACTCAGAAATCACGGGGCTTTCAGGCAAAGATATGGGGAAAAGGAATAACTGTTTTTTACTAGCATATATAACAAGGTAGAAAAGCAGCAACAATGAGAGCAACAACAAAAAAACCCGGCTCCGTCCGGGCAGCGCGGCTGCGGTGATTCCTCCACTCCGGCAGGGGCAYTGTAGTGCGGGGGGCTTGGCCAGCTCTATCCCCACACGGCAATGGTGGGCGTGGGTGGCAGAAATGGATGGAGAAATGGGTTTCATTTACAAACTCACAGGGGGAGCYGATCCTGGTGTCCCCTCWGGASAGCAAAAGGAGTTGTAGCAGCAAACTGGGCAGGGAGGGACAAGCAAATTCCCGGGGTGGTAGATGAGATGTATCAGAAACTTGGCAGCTGTAGTGGAAACTGACTCCCGGCAGGGAGTGTGGGAGCAAAGCAAAGAAAAAACTTTGGAGCAGTGGYAGAGAAAACGACAGGGGCTGAGCAGTGACCACCCGGCTCCTGAACAYGGCCAAGAGAGACTCCCTTGGAGGAGGAGGAGGCCCAGGGGTCCTGGGGTTTTCCCTGAGGTGCTGGAGTGGATTTTCCCTGAGGGCTCCCTTGGTGAGGTTGGTGTCAGTAATGTCAGKAATGCAGTGGTCTCTCTCACGAGCAAAGGCTCACCCATGGCAGGATGCCAGGCTTTGGGGTACCAGTGAGCTCTCCCCCACAGGCAGCAGTTCCACCATCCATCCCAAAGGCAACAACGTAAGAAGAGCCAGGAGCTGCCCCTGTCCCATTTTATCCCGAGCCCAAATTATTGCGAGATCTCTGCTCTTCTCAGAGGAARAATCTCCAGATAAGAGAGAGGTACTGCCAGGTACCCTCCTCCCCAGTGCTTGGCAACTTCTTTAATCTCTCCTGAGAACCTGGTCATTATTTTAGTGCTGGTTTGTTATTATCATTTAGCAACAAAATGGGGAAAAATTCCCCAAGAGAAATAGAGCAAAAGGAGACCTAACCTCCAACAGTCTTCCTCCATTATGGGTTTTTTCCCATTAGACCATCCTACTCCCATGGAAGAGGAGGTGAGAAATAAAAACAAGAAGGGTCATCTATCTTATGTGGTTATTATATACCCTGTTCTGCAGACACTGCCCTTGCTGCTTCACAGTGTGGTGACAAGAGTCATGAAAGGGTAAGATATTGCTAGCAGGGAAAATGACCATGGAGCTCTTACCTTCTGCAATGCGAGATGGAGGGGCTGCTTGAAGTCCACAAAGGTTCCCACAAGAGGAAAGAGCTGAGGCCCTGGAGGGAAATTCCTGGGTCGTCTCTTTCTCACCAGGTCAATAACCAAAAGACATATCACCAGAACCACCAAGAGCATCCAGACATTCAACTTTTCCCAGAAAGAGACCAAATCAGACCAAAATTGAAACTCCATCTTGGCTGATGAACTCACAGGTTTTCATCCCAGGAAGGAACTTGATTCTGGTGTTACATTTCTAAAAGAGGAGTAAGAAAGGACTGGAAAAGAAACAAAAAAGCTAAATTGTTTATAGCGGACTGGGGACAGAAGCTGGTTTTCCATATATAAATTTTGACCACCTGTTAAACAATTACTGTAGGATCATAAATAATTAACCAGGATCTCCAAAATCAACCCCAAAATCTCAAAAACATGTGACCAAACAAAAGCAATCTTGCGAAACTTTAGCTTTACATCTCTGCCAGCTCCCTAATTTTCTTATGGAAGAGCATTCCTCCCTTTTGCCCTGAACAAGGGKCTCCTTTATACAGACACCCTGCTGGGATTATCACAGTCGAGGTGAGGTGRAAGCAGCTTACTGGGCTGATTGCATATGGTGGGCGTCGCGTGGTTTCAGAGATGCTGAGGCATCTGAGGTGATGGACACCACACAAGTGGCTGAGGGGCTGATCCTGTTAAGTGCTAAGCACMATCTGCAAAAGGCTGGATGCCTTCAGCACCCACCAAAGCCTTCCCAGCTTTGCCGGAGCCATCAGGGGAGGTTCAGACAAGGGAAGCACTTGGGGAGCCCAGGGCTCTCCCGGCCACTTAAATGAGAGTTAAAGGAGCTTAATTTTGAGAGTGAGAACATAGGCTCATGCGCTTGCCATGAGATTTGAACTTATGCATTTAAATCTCTTGGGTTTTCCGAAAATCTCCTTTGAATAAAGCTTCACGCTGTCCTGGGGGAAGGCTGCAGTGGACTGAGAGTGACCCCTGTGACTCTGAATCCATCTCAGGTCACTGATATTTTAGCTACAACTTGTCTCCAGCTCTTTTTCTTTTTTTTTTGTTTTTCCCTTTTAAGAAATTTACATCGCAAACAATCTAAATTTATACCAAGCAAAACTGTCAATAATGAGTTTTCAAATTATTGGCCTAGAACTTACCGTGAGAAAATCTGAAGGATGGCCAACTTTCACTGCCATAGAATCCTAGAATGGTTTGGGTTGGAAGGAAACTTAAAGATCATCTAATTCTAACCTCCTGCCATGTGCAGAGATGCTGTGCCTTCAGCTTTAAAGAAAGCTTTAATTTTTCAGAAAAAAAGTGTAGATTTTCATAGGAAACAGTATTTTGGAGAGAAAAAAATCTGGTATTCTCTAGTCTTTCACCATTTTTAAAAGGTTTGCTGTCCATGTCTTTCACTACCTTAGAAACACACACAGACTGTCTGACAGTCGTGCACTTTGGCTGTTGCAGTTGTTTTAGGGGTGATACTTACCTGCAACCAACTTTTCTTGCTTTGAAATATAATTTAAGATGGGATTAGGCAGCAAATGGGGAGCAATAATGGGAGAAACATCTCCCATCTTGTGTATAAAGCATATTTTACATGTCCCCATCGCACAGCTGTGAGCAGCAGTGGTTGGACGTGCTTTGCTTCTCCTCAAGCTGGCGCACCCACGGTGCTCCTGCACCATTTGCATCCACGCACCTCTTCCAGCCTCCCTGGTGTGGCAAGCCAAGCCTGGCTTACCAGAGGCTAAATCAGGATAGCGAGCTCGTGCTCCTCATCCTGGCACCGGGGAGATGACTCGGTTGGTGGAGGTGTCAGCCTACAGCACGCTCAGAGGGACTGTGATGATAAGGCGTCAACTTCTGCTAGCCCAGTTTCACTCCTCTGTTCCTCGCTGTGCCATATGATTTGTCAGCATGCACAGAGTGCAGATCCCTCTACCACTTGTGGCTGCTGTGAATCGGGCTACGTGCAAAGCCAAGGTGTTAATGTGTTCTTCTGGGTGGTGTTGTGGGGGTGGGTGCATCGTGGTTGACAGGAGAAATGTTATTTTTAGCAGGAGGAGCACATTTTGCATGTACTCACATGTGTCTTGTCAGTCAGAAACCTCAAGCCTGTTCCTTTGCCTTGAAGCTTCACATGTCCAAATGTATCCCCTCACAAAGTTCTTTACACGCCAGATTTATTCAGAATTAGGGAAGAGCCTTCCAGTATTTCCAGGGCTCTCCTAACCTCGGCAGACAATAACACCAGCCTGTTATCAAACTGTGATGATGCTATTTTGGGTCCCAGGCTTTAATCAACTCAGTTCTCGGCACGTGGTGACGGGCAAATCCCCAAAGCACTGAGGAAGTCACGTCGCTGTGGCACATGGGCAGCGCAAAAGCTGTTGGACAGCTCCAGTCTCKGCAGTGTTGACAAGATCCTTATGTGTAAGATCCTGGTCACGTGGAGGATGAACTCATTCTTCTGGTCAGCACCATGAATGCTGGAACATTGCATTTCTGCAGTTCAAATAACCCCAATTCGAATTTATAAGAGGATGTGCCTCCACACATCCAGTAGGGAACAGGATGCAGACCTGTTTTCCCCCAATTTCTCCTCAAATACCTTCCCTAACCCCAGTACACAGCTTTTGAGCACCTCACCTGAGCTCAAGGAAACCACATGGATAAACTGTGCCATATTGCATGGACACACAGACATCACTGCCTGAATATTAAGGCATCTTGAACAGCCAACAGCCAGAAATTGGCCCATATGCTTTGTACCTTCTTCCCTGGCTAGATGTCTARCTGTGTGCAGAAGGTTTTGAAACACAAAGAGAAACATTCTGTTAAAAATGCAATTACCATTTGTTTTTCAAGATATAGTATCCCATTATTTTTTCCAGAGAAGTGAAATTCAATAAGGTTACAACAGAATGTAGTCCAACAGTTACCGTACTTTCAGAGCATTATTTAAGCTACAGAATTTCTTAATGATTAGAAACATATGTAGGAAAAAATCACATGCAAAATGAGAATGACTGGAGACAATTTTCCCCCAAAACACTTTTTTTCAGGCAAGTAACAACTCATCCACCACTGTTGTTCCATCCATCCCGTTGGAGGTGTGAGACTCCCACCCCCCCTGGGAGCCGCGTCCTCAGGTCACGTCAACAAACAGCCTCCAGTGAAGTCCAAGGACCCATCCTGATTTCCAGGATGGAATATTTYGCTGTTTCTCTCCTCTTCATGTCACACCCAAAGAAGTGAGGCCATTTTTATCATTGACAAGCCCTTGAACAGCAGCGACCACCCCRATGTGTGTCTTAAGGCCACGTCCCAGAAGGTTTCATGCAGGTGCTTTGGCTGTTTCATTGTCCAGCCTAGGTGAGTCTTCATGAACCTGAAGTCAATGACAGCCTTGAACATTCATTTCCTTTTCAGATTTACTTTACTGGATCAAATGAGATCTACAGGGAATTTTTGATTTCAGAAAGCTAAGAGTGGAGAGTGCTGGGACATCCAAACCTCATGGAGTAAACTCAGGAAAGACATGGTTCAACTCACTTCTTAGGCTGAGGTTTCCCCCTTGAGGTGATTTCACTGGGACATGAGAGCTCCCGTGTGCTCTCAGTGCTCAAATATATCAGGACTTTGATCCCAAGCCCCAGAACCAGCAAGCCAAATCCATATTTATTGCTCTGTGTTTGTGTGGTGAATACTAAAGTGCCTCCAATTTTGCATCTTCTCTCTCTTCTCCTTCACCCACACTAGATGCAAATAATTTCTAGGTTTTCCTGGGACCATAGACCTCTCACCTGTAGCCTCCTTGCTACAAAAATATTTCCAGTGCTCATTAGAGCTGTAAGGCTATAAAGGAGCTGCTACCAGGAATGGGCAAACTGAGGCATTACGAGCCTCAACCAAGTGGTGTGAGTAGACCAACAAAGTGTCTGGCTGCCAGGCTGGGAAGGATCCCAGAAGATGGGATGCTCTGTCTCCTTCTMTAACAGTCCAAAATGCCCCTTTTCTGCTGTGGAAGCCAGTTGTGAAGGGATTGCATTCAGACTCGTCAGCCAGATAATTAAATGCGGGTGCAGAAAGCGCTGCACAGAGCGCTCGCTGTGCCCCCCGACCTTGGATCACCCCCGGCTTTTTGGTCCAAGATTTTATTCCCTTCRCATCCAGGAGCTGCGTCGCTCTTGCCAGCACCGCCCTGCAGGCACATCCCGTAGGGATGCAGGGAGTCAGATTTGGGGGTGCTGGGTGGTTCCCCCCGAGGGGCTGCCCACCCTCCCCCTGGCACGGCTCTCCCTCYGTCTGCCGCAACCCCGGCTGCCCGAAAACCTCCGGAACACTCTCCCATCTAAGGCGCACCTTTTCAGTATTCTCAGAGACGAGTACAGTCACATATTCCTCTCAAAGCCACAAGGACTTGACTAGAGCTAAAATGTCATTTATGTACATATCACAAGCGTTTTTCTAGGCACAGATGTCTTTCTGGTGCCAATATGCTGTTTATGTACTTATCTGTCACAAGCACATGTCTACATACATATGCCCTGCTGGCAGAGGCACAGAGCATTTTGAAACTCTTATTAGACTGCTAATGAATAATACGCATACAAAGGAGAAAACAGAAGGTGGGTCTATCAGGAACAGCCTCTTTCTTAACTACCTTTTAATTGTAGGAGAGGAAGAAAAGAGATGAATTTTGATATGTTGGCATCTGTGAAGGCCTGCTTAGCAGCATCCAACGCCATCATTTTAAAAGTGGATTTTTCACAGGTTTGGGTATTTTGGGGGGGAGGGGAGGATTTTTTTTTTTCCTCTTAAAAAAAAAAACCCACAAAATTTTGAAACCGAGAGTATTGCAAATCCTGGTGCCAATGATGTATGATAGTGTGATTGTCACCATGGAATGCTGAAAAGCTCGAGCAGCTGTTTGGCATATTGACAGTGCGAATTCAGAGCGTTTTAAATGCAAATGACAGTATTCAATTGATCGCAGGAAAACAATGGGTCATAGCCTTACCTTTCCTTGGCTATGCTCTGAATAATCAGGCTGCAAATCCATGCACAATAGGGATATTGTACACGTTCTGGGGATTTTGTTCCCCGTGTTCATGGGGSTCGATATGATGCTTCATTTGGGCAGAGCTGAATTAGAGGCGCCTCTGAACYGTCCCAGGCACCTCGTGGGGGTGAGGTGGGGAAAAGGGCATAATTTGCTCCAAATCCACCAYGTCCTAAGTGTCAGCCTGTTTTTCTTCACTTCTATCCTTTTCTGCTTGCTCTTTAATCATTCCCAAGGGTGGCTGGCTTTCTGCCTGACTTGTCTCCATTATACCCTGCTG